ATGAGAATACACTTAAGTCTTCATAGTCTGGAGAGGTATTTTCCCCTTGCCTTTCATGGTGAATCTGTCTATCCACAGGTTTCCAATTTAATACAGTTGCTAAAAAAATCTTTGTATCTTTAAAAGTTTAGTTCTGATTAACTGTGTTGTATACCAAATTTTTATGGTAGTGAAAGGAGGTTGGTGTAGGGAAAAAAAAGCATGCAGTAGAGGAAAAAAAAGTGTGAAATGCAGGTTTGTTTGGGTTTTTTTTTCTTTTGTAAAGATGAAAATAGTGATGGTGAAGGATCTAGAGGGAGGGGTAGATAGCAAATTCAGTTAATTGGTAAAGAGATACTGGCAGCAGCAAACAGCCAAACAGGAAACATTTGAGCTGCATTTCTGAAGGCATTATATTATAGACCAGGAAGATAATACTGCATCATTATATTGCTCTAGCATATCTCCCCAGCATTATCAGCTTTTTCTGGAACTCACAAAGCACAGTCTTAGTAAGGTATTGACAAAGCAGAATGTGGTGAAGCCAAGATAGAAAATTTAGCGGCCTGAGAAAGATCAAGACTTAGGACAACTTGATAAAGGGGCTAAAATGAACTCAGAAATCCTAAGGCCAGTGAGAATTGAAGGATTTTAAATTAATAGATGAAAAAAAGTACAAGTATGATTAGCTCAACTTAGTTCAGATTTCAGCAGTGAAGGAAAGGAGATCACAATAAGCTGTTTTGCAGAATAGTCTTACTTTGGAAGCAATATTGAACTTGTGGGGAAAATATCTTTGCTCTTGATAATTTTATATTCAGTTTGCCACTGGCAAGGTAGGAATCCAGAGCTAATTTTTTTCCCCATCTCTAATGTGTCAGTTTCAAATTCCTTAGCACTGCTTAGCTAATATATAGTAGATGTCTATTTCCCCCTGTGGGTGACAATGAAGATCAGTCCCCAAATACAGCTGTTCATTTCATGTGAAATGTACTTAGCATTGGGTTGATTCAAAACTTTGGAAAACTCTAGGATTGCATATATTGAACAACTGGGTCAAAGCTTGGGTTTTCTTCATGTATGTGTTTAGTGAGTAGTTACTTTAAAGGCTCCACTCACCCTGCTTCCCACCATTCGGAAGGACTGTAGATAGTTGTACTGGTGATAGTGCAGGAATCCATAGGACAAAAAGGGTGTGTTTGCCATAAAGCTGAATGCTGCCTTCTTGTACTGCCACTCCCTCAGGTGAGGGAGACTGAAAGAAAGACAATTGTTTTGCCTGGGTTTTTTTGTTTAGTTGTTTGGTTTTTGTTTGGATTTTTTTTGTTTGTCTGATTGATTGGGTTTTTTTCCTAAGGGAAAATCTATCCAGCTTGTTGAACATCTTTCTATTAAAGAGGAGATGATAGTTTATTTGTGGCTGGCACAAATCTTTCACTTGCCTAAACATAAAACATTGAAACCATGACCTTGTATGCATCTTTTTATTTGCCAGAGATCCATAGTCTGTTGCAGCTCAGAAGTCAAGCTCTCAAGCAATCCTTGATGAACCAAATGACACAACCTTGTTGCTGCAGTAACAGTAATTCAAATCTCCCCTGGGCCACAGGAGCTAAAATATAACCCCTGACTAATGTGTCCAGCTTTGTGAAGTAGTAGCAACTTTAACAATTGGAATTTCCATTACTTGTTTCCTTCCACCTTAATTTAGCATTGACACTAGTAGCTTTTATTTCATTCACTTCATGTCTGTGCACTCCCAAGCATGCAGTTGTGGCTCTCCCGAAGTCGGTTCACTGTAATACGCACAGCATGGTCCCCTAGCACGTGTGAATTGTTTCCGCTGGTGTGACATCTCTGCTGGGCTTGTGGAAGGACAGCTCTGCTCGGGCTCAGAGGCATTTGCTGGAGGTGGTGGCACTCTCCTCTGCTGGTACCCATCCAGCTTCCTCGCAACTGTTCCCATCAGTCAGCTGGGAATAGCTTGGGGCACGAGGGGGGCTGCCTGGGGAGCTCTGGAAAATCCTCTGATTTGATATGTGTAGAGAAAATGTCACCCTGCTCCTTGAATATGTTTTTTGTTTAAATGTCACCCCTTACATCAGTGACCTCATCTGACTCAGCACTCAGCATAGCTTCTCTCTGAAGGGAGGGAGCTTTAAGCAAGTCATGGATTTTGTCATAGTCAGAGAATGTAGGGAAGAAGGCACACCATGAGAGACAAAATCTGAGCAAACAGAAAATATTTTTGAAACGGACTAGCAGGCAATTATGTAAAATAACGTAAAATCTAAACATCAGAAGACTCTGGATAAACAAGGAAATTGACAGTTCTGTGCACATAGTTTATTTCAGCCTCAGGTTTCCCAGAAGGTTTTGCTGAGGTTTGTGCTGGTGTAGCTGTGGCAGCACTGTACCTGCTACACTGATGTGTCACCTTTGAAAGCAGGGCAGGGCTGAAACAGCCATCTGGGTGGATCACCAGGTTTATTTGGAGGCTGATTGTGCTAAAAGTCTGTAGAAGGTGAGACCTGTGCTAAGGGTGTCCCTAACAAATGGATCTGTGACTACAGCCTGAGCTTCTGTAGCATTTTAACTTCATTATTAGGAGCAGAACTTTCTTCAGGCAGGCAGAGGGGATACAGACACTAGAGAGGCTTGGAGCGAGCAAACTCTGGAATCTTCTTTCCCTGTATTGCACCTGGTAGGGGTAGTGTGGATGCATGAAAGAGCTGTGGTCCTGATGTGTTGAAGGGAAATGTTGGCCAGGACGCTGCATATCCTCTATACCTTCCTTTTAAAAATGCCGAGCTACACTGAACATTGGGGCAGACATGGGCAGAAACCAAAGGAGCAGAAACAAGTGACCTCAGTTTAACATTTCATTCAAATGACAGAGCCCCGAATGTGATGCCCGCTCTCGTTTCCTAGCTCACCACTCAGCCTGAAGGATCTCTCAGATCCTTTCTGATGTCCTGATAAGAAAATACCATGTTACAGGTGGGAAAGTAGGACAGAAGCACATAGTGTTTGGTTAAACAACATCTCAGTTTCTTAGAGCTTAGCTCTATTCAGTTTGTTGTGTGGTTTTATTCTGTTCTAGGTTTTGCTTCCCCCCTTTTCTGTTATTTACACAAATGACTGAAGATTGAGGTATGGGAAGGTAACATGCACAGAATTTTAAGTCCATAAAACTGTGGTCTTTCTTCTAACACTTATTTATGTGATACTGTCCGTAGTAGTGAAGCAAAAACTTTTTATATTTATCTTACTCCTGCTTTTATTCTGTTCTCCTGAACTCTTGAAATGGAGCCAAGAAAGGGCACTAAAAAAAGCAGTGAATTCCTAGGAAAAAACCAGCAGTGAATTCATAGGAAAAGTAAAAGTACAATGAGACTATACCTTCAAACAAAAAAAAACCCACCAACTAGTACTAGATAAACTGTCAGGATAGGAAACTGCCATTTTAAGTCCAACAAGTCAGTTTTACCTCTCCTCAAAATAATCATCCAAACATCAGTGGTTCTGGACTTACAGAGGACAGGTTATAAATACTCTTAATGTAAATGTACCTTCAAGGTATTTGTGAGACCTCAAAACCCTGCTTTATTCTCAGGCTGTATCTTGCTATTTGCTTTCATTCTGGATGGGGCCAGTTCCACTGGCTTAGTGTAACTTGTATTTAAATCTGTGTGAATTGCTGCGGTTTAATGTGGACCTCTGGCTAAAACCTCTGATTTAGTCTAGTGCCTATGCAGAGATTAATTATTCCCTTGTACAGATGGCTTTTCTGGCAATGTGAATGTTAGAAACATTTTTTGCTTCATAGTTTTGCAAAATTATTGACCATCTTCTTTGACAAAGACTGAGTTCCTGGTAGTGTTTGCTCTCTGCTGTTTTGTAATCAGATATTTGTCATGTTTTAAGGTAGGTGTATCGGCAGGGTGATCAATGTTCAAGCTGAGCTGCCTCACTCTAGTGCATTGTGTGTGTTTGCTTGTCTTTTTGATTATCAAAGTAGAACCCATGTTTGGGGGACATTTTTACCCCCCTTTTTTAATATAATGGCAATTTCTTTCTAACCAGAGGATAAAGGAGGATAAGTGCTGTGAAGATACAGAAGAGAGGTTCTGGAGGTCCTGCACAAATTAATGACTTGAAAAGGGTGAGCATTATTTAATGTTTGTAGCTTTACCCTGAGAGCAGAAACTTTTTTGTTATATCTGTAGTTTTACCAACAGCTTCTTCCCTACCCTCATGCCCTCTGTATTTTAGCAATTTCCAATCTAGGGCAGAAATGCTATCCAGCATTACTGAACAAGGGTTATAGTTTTATGGAACTCCGAAGAACTGGAATGTAAACTGAAAAAAAATCAAGCAATTAATTAAAGAAGCAATTAGCTAACTATTTGTATTCCTAGACTTTAATTCAAGCGTCACACCTTTAGAAGACTTGTATTGAAATGATGAAACCGGTATGTAGTGAAACTGTGCTTTTATCACAGAAATTATATGCTGATTAGAAGTATCCCGTGATCTTTCTGTATTCAGAAAAACTAAATGTTAGTTTTCCTAGGGAAAGTAAGGGCTGTGGAACCAAGAGGCAAACATGAAGTTGTGGATTTTTTTTTTTATAATGCTAAATACATGTAGTATGTATTTTTTTCAGCTTAACAATGCATTGCAAAAGAAGGTTATCGATTTCTTGGTGCCTTTTCTGCTACATGTGGAAAGATCTAATAGAAAGAACCTGTATTATATGTCACAGTGCAAGATACTTATGTGCTGAAGCAGAATTTAAAAATGGCTTTGTAGTTGTTAACAGGTTACAGAAGAGACTTAGTGTTTGGGATTTTAGAATGTGATTTTGTTTGCTTGTTTTATTAAAGCATATGTTTTGTCCATAAAGTAACTGAGCAGCATGAGGGGCTTGAGGAGCCTAGAAAGATCTGTCCCCTTCCGTGGGGACTATATTAGACCTCTGAGTCATGAAGTCTTTGCATAGTAGGTGTCTGGTTACAAACCTTTTATGGGCCCTACTCAGCTGGGATATCAGCATCTGCATTATAGCTCCCATCTATTCTTAGGTGGTATCAGAGCACGACTGAACAGGCAAGGCAGAGAGAGAATTGCTTTCATTTATGTAAAACCCTATCCTGTTCTCAGTCTGTTTTTTCACACTTTTTTCTGTCTGCCCCGTCCTTCTGTCCTGCAGTGCCCTGTTGCTGCCTGTGAAAGTGGTACAACATGGCTTACAGTGTGACTCTGAATGGACCTGGACCGTGGGGCTTCCGACTGCAAGGGGGCAAGGACTTCAACATGCCCTTGACCATCTCCAGAGTAAGTGTGCAAAAAAACCTTGTTGAGCTTGTTTGGGCTGGAAAATAGCAGTCATATGTACACTTTGACCTGGCCTAGCAGAATTGAAGATCTTTGCACCTAGGTGTGAATAAAGACAATATAATGTGAACTAGAAATCTGCCAGTTTGAAGTACAACCTGGCATTGATAATGCCTCAGGAAGACAGTTGTGGTTAGTATATTTGTATGGATGGTGATACTGTCTCTTTTAAGTAATCTTCCAGTTCTATTCTGTGCAGTGCTGTCTCTTTTTCTGCTGATAGGGGCCTCACTGGTGCAATCTGGGGGGGAAGGAAATAGAACAACTCTGAATGGGAATATAGAACTATATTTATAGAAAATAAACATCTAACTGCTTGTAAGTATGTGAAGTCAGGTGTTCAAACTGAACAAAGACAGGGATGTGACCCCTCTTGTGATGGGGTGCAATAGTTGGATAAAAATTAGACATGTCAAGCAGAAGACTCAGTAGTACTTAAAATACTGTCTTAAATTATGCAGAAGCCTTCCATTTGCAGCAGACAAACAGCATGGATTTAATAATTAATTACTTAGTGTATCTGTCAATTACAGCCATATATCTCCTAGCTGCCTTTTACTTTTCTTTTCCCCTTGAAGCATTATTTTAAGGTGTTGCTGTTCAGTACCCCTATTACCTGAATTAGCTATGTTTCTTAAATATTTTTAACATTGAATGGTTTTCAGGAAATTTGTGTTTCCTTTACCTACTTTTCTCTCATAAGACAGTTCTGTGTGACTTCTGGTAGCTCCCTTCTTCTTTTCTTGTTTCTGACAGTCTCAAATCTTCTCCAGAATGTTCAGATCTTTCTAGAGAGGTCTTGGCTCCTCCACAAATCACCTGCAGAAGGCTTATTTTGCAATACAGTGACAAGAGAGGTTACTTACATAAGAGTATGTAAGAGAAATACCAGAATGATTTAATCAGACAAACAAGTAGAATGCAAATAAAAGGTCTGCTTCACTGCAAAAATAATAATAAAAAAGCCACCTACACTCCTTTTAAAACTATGCTGATTTTTTCATAATGAAAAAATATAGTCTGTTAAGTTGTGGGTACAAAATGTATATCTCTACAACAAATGTGATTCAAAGTCACTTGGTGGGCTTCTGAAATCTTAGCTATGCTATTTCATATTCATCCTGTGAAACTATATCACCTGATCTCTCTTGTTCTTATGCACATTATCTCTTTCTTGGAAAACAGGGCCACATTTACCTTAATACTATGATGATGAGACATACTTTTCATAACTCCTTTTGCAGCATAGTAATTGCAAAGAAGGCTGTTCTGGCAGTTTTATCAAAAGCAAACAAGCAAAAGACAACCTAAAATACCTCCCATCTACAAAAATAAACTCGCTTCATAAACTCAGATTACTTTTGCTCCTGTAAATAGTGTTGGTATTTCTTTTCTCATCCCACCCAAGGTAAGTACAGAGAGGTGTCACCATATTTTTGTAGGCATTTTCATGACACTTTGCAGCTTGCACTGTATGGAGTTGATTATTTTCTTTTAAATCATTCAGTCATACCTAGAGTCTGTCAGCCATGGGCTGTAGCACTTGCAGTGTATGTGACACAATCAGTAATGAAAACCCAGTTGTTTCCCAAAGAGCTCATTGTCTCAGATAGTAATCTGTGAAAGTACAAACACTATGCCCAAAGGCTGTATGAGTCTCATGAGGCTTTTGAGAGTATAGGAGGAGAAGAAGTGAAACTGCAACAGCTGAATTCCCAGAGGTGTGAAGGAATTAGCTCTTCACAGACCTAACTGCATTTTCAACCATAGCAGTGGCAGAAAACGCTGTTAAATGTTTTTAAACTCTTCCCAGTGAGGCCCAGCTGGGACTACAGCTTTGGGATGGGATTGGATTTTAGAGCCTGCCTTATGAGGGCAGAAGCATAGCGTCTTTCAGGGCGAGCTGGGATAGTTATGCCCACTGGTTGTGACGTTTTTGTGATCTGTTTTTTTTTTCTTTATTGTCTATCACATAAATATATCTCTAAACCAAATCAGAAATTTCAGTCATAAGTGAGTTGACCTATGAACTCAGCCATAGTTGCAGTTTTATTGAAGTGGGAAAAGGGAAGCTGTACTTACATTTTATAATATTCCTGATGGGGAGGAGGGGAGAGAAGATAACTGTGAGGAAGATCTCCTACTTGGAAAGGGTGCAGAGATCTAAATGTTGCTAGTGGATGCTATATATTTATGGACTCGTTTTGATCCACAGCTGCCCTGAGATGAGATTAGAATTTCTAAGTGCAAGATGAGTCCTAAACTTCAAATACTTCAACTTAGAGTATTATAATTGCTTTTAATGTACCATGGCAGATGTGCCATTGCCCTTTTGGCTACATGTGCACAGTGTCCTTCTAAGCCTGCAGACTGGGTTTGCATGCAGACATGTTCATTCTGCTCTGACTGCCCTCAGTTAATTTGACTGTCTATGGGTGGGCCACAGAGAACAGAAGGATTTCTCCTTTTTCATGGAGGCTCTGTGCTCTTCTGTCATGCTGCAAGAGCACTGCCTCTAAACTCGAGAAAAATGGTGGTAGGAGTCTAACACAGCAGGGTTGTTCATCACATCTACAGTATTAGGCCAAGATGTTTCCAAGCACCCTCCCAAAAGAGGGCACCGGTATTGTGCCATTATGAAGCTAGCCCATGCATGGACATAAGGTTGACCTGTTGACCTGCACTCTGTCAGCCAGCCCTACACAATTCCTACCCACCTCACACTTTATCTGGACAGTAGGGGAGAAATCATGAAAGTCTTTGAAACCTGCTGAGAAAAGCACAATACAGGATTGTGGGATTGCTAAGGCTTCTGTTCAGGAAAAATGTTCTTAACACAGTGGATGAGGAAGTGAATTATGCAGAGCTCTTTGGCATAACAGTTCACTTCTAAAGAAATCTTTAAAATGGTGTCTCAGACACTGGATTTTCTTCCATTAAGATAGGCCCAGGTGATCAGCTCATTGCTGAATAATCAACTGCATAATGCACAGGGGACACAGTCAGTCAGCTGGGTGACAGGTGAAGATGTGTTCCCCTGAAATGGATTGTTCTGCTTATCTGTTCTTTATCTAAAAATAAATGCCTGACTAACATAGGGGATGGGAACAAGAAAGCAGGAGACAAAAACAAGTAGGGAAGAGTTAAGGTCACTCTGCAGCTTTCACTCTGCTTTAACAATAGTATCGAGAAATCATCTGTAAACTATTTTTCCAATCCCCACCCTGCAAACCATTGTACCCACTAGAAAAATTCTGTCATGAGATGTAAAATTCTCTCATGAGATGTCATGAGCAGGTAGCAGACATAGGAAAACAGTATTGACAGACTTAATAAAGCCAAGCATCTGTCAGCCCTGCTGAAATGGATGAGACTTGCAGGTTGTTGGCAGTGCTAAGTGTTGTCACCAGTGGCGTGATCATGTACATAAATCTGGTCTTTCCAAATTGATGTGGGCAGCAAAGCTGTTTATTTTCTCCTACTGCTTGAACTGTCTGGAAGCAAGCAGAATTCATTAATTTTATAGACTAATCCTTTGTAAGAAGGCTTTTGGACATAGTTAATTATCTAAGTGCTCAGTTGCCATGTTACCTAAGATGGTATGATTGTACATGGTCGGTTGCAATAACAGAACATCTTCATTTAATTCTGAATCTTTATTTCTGAACAGTAAACTTTTCTAGAGAGACAGGCTGGCTTGCAGGTGATGCAATGAGCTGAAATGTGTGAAGGAGCAATCATTATCTGAGGTAGTGGAAATAGTATTGAAATCACTGTAGTAACTCATGACTGGTATATTCACTCTGCAGTTATCTATACAGTTTTGTATTTTCTAATAGAGAGGTTGGGTTCCACATCAAAAGCCAGAGCCTGAAACAGGAGATAGTGTTTAAACAAAACAAAAACCTTTAAGAAATACTTTTCTTTATTTGATTAAGTGATTTAAAGGTTGAAATCTGCTGAATGTGTAAGTCCAGGGAGGGGAAATAACAAACACTGCTACAAAAAGAATTAAATTAGCTGATCTGTATACTGACTCTGCTACAAGCAGTCTGAAACAGCTTTTTGAGTCTGGGGGGAAAACCCCGGTCTAGTATTTTGAAGTCTGTCTCTGCAGGAGCAGGAAGGGTTTTTTTCCTCAGAGTTGTTAGGCTCTTTCCTTTTATCAGCATCTCTTGCTGATTGCTTCCTGTCCCTCCTCCACTCCCTAGCATACATATGCCAACCTCTGGCTGTCAGTGCCTCTGCTTTAGAGGAGCTATGTGAGAGTATTCATTTCCTGTGTTGTGTATCAGTGCCTTACAACAGGCAGCTGAGGAGGAAAGGCAGTCCCTCTTCACTTTTTTTCTTCTATTCTTGAATGCAGGGAAGCCTCAGATGATCTGGGTCAGGCTCTGTGCATTCTGCAGCTGTCCTTTAAATGGCCATGTGGTGCTGTACATAAACTATAATCAGGAAAATGCAGTTTACCTGTATTGAGTGAACTGAAACAATTCGGCAAGTTCTACTTGAAGTGCTGATACAGCATCCCCTGTTAAGCATCCACCTTTGGTGAGTCAGACTGCTGAGTAGCTGTCCTAAAGCTGTAACTGCAGCTTTGAGAGGGCTTTTCTTGTTCTCCAAAGTAGAAGTCATTCATCAGACCAAAAGCTATAGATTAGTATTTATAATAGTTGATATTCTATTAAACTAACAGATAAGTCTGATGTCCTCAAGAAGTCTAGGAATCTTCCTCTTTAACCATTACTTAATAGAGATGTTTCCTTTTTCCTTTTAAGTTCAAATGACTGAGTCAACTTCTGAGAAGGAAGTGAGCCATTTAATATAATGACTGTCTTATGCCTAGACAAACTGTAGTAATTTCTTATGCCTTAGCAGTTTCACATTCTTCCAGCCTTCTTCAGTTGAACTCAAAATATTCCCTTGCGAGAGGAAGATTA